TATTTCAGCAAGAAAGTTATTTCTCTGCAGAACAGGTGTTCATGGAATGAATGGTCTAGATTTTCAGTTTGGACTGGCAAATAAACTTTGTCAATTATTGTACATTGCAATGACCATTTTAGCAATTTTCTTATTGATTCCATTATTTGTGCTCCATCCATTTGTTGCATCCTCAGCATTACATTGCAACAGTTTCTCTCCACAGCTCGAATAAAAGCCACCAGCTAAGCAGCACTAATTTACAAGCCCATTGTTACATAGAAATGCCAAAATCTTCTGAGCCTCAAATTAGAACAGTTGCCAGGGTCTTCAGACATATAAAATATTTTCTGTAGGCCGTGATGTCTGACATAAATACACTGCCAGAGTAGGGTCAGCCAATTCAAAACCATAAATAGCAGAATGGTGGCAGAAAATGTTAAAAACAATTACAATACACATGTTCTTTCCCCCTTAGGACAAAAGAGTCTCATCACGTTCCTTTTTGCTCTGCCAGAAATATTTAACTGATTCATGTTTTGTGGTATAAATACATAAATCAGTTTCTGTTCCTGTTTCTAGACAGCTCATTTTATGTAACACAGATTCATGTGAACTAAAGTATTCTGATCTCTTTAATTTCCTTATCTCTAAACCTTAACTACCACAAATAAGTTTCTCATGGGGGCCAGTGGGATAGAGTTTCTAGCAAACAAATTTAGGAAAGGTTTGAAGATAGACTATCCCATATCTCCAGTGTTATTTGTGTACATCATTACTTTGCTTCAAGACTGGAGGATATATTTGCACCATGGAAAGTGAGGGGAACAGACTGGTCTCTTTTCCAACACTATCCTCACAGGGAAGGAAAACCCAAAAGGAGGAAAGTGACACCACTTGTGCCAAGTGACATCACAGGGCAATGATTGATCAAATATGCAATTCACAATAAAGGAGAGGAATCATGCTGCAGGCAAGGCTAAAAAGGGAAGCAAAGACAACCCTGGGCACTATCTATAGATAGCCCTAAAGTGGGAACTAACAGAATGATCTGGGTCACAAGAGGTCGTGCAGAAATGTTGCCTTCCAGTTTCAGGAGCAGGATGTCCACATTGGCAGGACTTCATGCCTGAACAACCCACACAGTCAAAGGCAGCTTAAGTCATGGAGCTTAGGGTTATTTATTTTTCTCTACAGATAATCATGCCATTGCTTTTAACATGCAAAAATTGGTAAGAGAAAGCAAATTTCAAAATCTCAAGCATGAGTATTCATGGAGACTAAAGTTTAAACAGATCAGTGAGCTGATTTCCACCCATTATGATAGGACCACACCTCAGCCACAGTGATTTTGTGTCAGTGCCTGTTCTGAGGCCAGAACTCTGCAGCTCAGCACATGCAATGCACTCCATACCTTGGAAGTGCTTGAACATCACAAGTCTCTTCAGGTAGGTCCCCAGCAAGCAGTTCTTAAAAGAAGTCAGCTGAGACTACTTCTTAGCCAATGGCATGGCCAGTCTCATTGTTCTGGTCAGACACCTTGGAGAAATACTCCACAGCTTGGCAAAGAAGCATTTTCAAATGGCCTAAGGGTAGACATACATGATGCACAGTCCTGTGAAGAGATAAATGTAAACAGCAATGGAGCTTTGTTAATGGTGTTTCTGCTCACACTGAACTATTTATTGCTGATGCTGATGAAAGTATTTTAGCTGATTCAAAGTTAATACAGATCTCCGAAAAATACAGTGTTATTTCTTGGAGACATACTTTAAAATTTCTATATTCTTTTCATAAATTACTGTTTCTGGAGTGACAATATTTTGCTGAGAGATACAGAACTCTAGTGGTTTTTCAAGTCCATCTGATGAATGCAATTCAGCCAGGAAGAGGAGAAAATCTTCAAATAGCTGGCACAGTCAGTCATGATGGAACAGATCAATTTGAAGAGAAAATACTCATTATACAATTTCTCTAAAGGGAATGCTCTGTACAACTCTAAATTAGAAACCAGTAGAAAACACCATGGAGATGTGGGTAACTCAATCCAAACTATCTGGCAAGTATTATTATTATTGTTATTATTATTATTATTATTATTATTATTATTATTATTATTATTAGTCTTAGACACATTGAAAATTATTCCCTTGCCCTTCCCTCCTTCTCCAGCAGAATCATTTGTAATAAACCAACAAATTAACAATAATATCCATTTTGAATGTCTTTAACCAGATCCCATAAATGAGTAAATTTCCACTCATATACCTGTGTCAGCAAACTTACTGCCAATATGGCACACAAGAATCCTGCTCCTTTTCCTTGTAAAAGGTAGACTGAAAGGTCAGTTTAATGGATTGCTACATTTCAGAAAATAATGTACCATGAACAGGTTCACTGCTTCCCAGCAAAAATCATTACAGGAAAACTCCACACTGAATTCACAGCCAAAATGGGAGGCATCCCCACAAGTGGCAAAACAACAATCCTTAAATTATATCACATGAACTACTTCATTCCTTTTATTTGTTCTGTGAACAGAGGAGTGTTTGGGGCACAGGTTAGAATAAGAAACTGTAGTTATATTATTAACAAGTAGATTAATTACTTTAATAGCCAGAAACCTAATAACAGCAAAGAAAACTGATTCATAGCATGTGTCAGAATAATGCTAGTGTAAAATAATAACATGAAAGGAAACAAATTGTCCCAGAGAATGTTTTACTCCTGTGTAGTATTATTTAGCCTGTATTCTTAATCAAATTTGGCATACTCACAAATTTCAAAAGGAAAATGAAAACAGGAAAAAAACCCCATAGCCACACTCCCAAGACAGAAAAGGCAGGAATTAAAAACATTCCCATCCAACACGTGTATGATTTGATGACTTAGTTTTAGTATTCTTTGCTCTTCTCAAAGTAAGATCACATTCATTTTTCATGAACTTAATATACATTCACACCCATTCAGACCCTGCCCTTTTAGCCAGACTGGACCACACACAATAATTGTAGTACTGATATTTACAATGCATTTATAATTTCAGGTATTTAAAACATGTTCTAGCTCACACATTTCTGACAAGCCTGAGGCAATTAAAAGTCTAACCAGCCCAGCATTTTATGTAAACTAATGGCATAGCTCTATGTGTTATTTGGGGTCTTCTCAACAATCTAGTTATCCTTCATTAAAAAAGCAAGAAGAGAAGATAAAAAGGGTAAAAGATCTGCAACTCCAGACAGTAGAACAGTCTCTGAAAGTAGCAGATTAAAATTTTACTTAACAATGACTTAAAAAAACCAAAACAATACAAAAAAACCCTGCAATATTATTGTATTCAGTAAATCACACAGACCTTTAATTCTGGTCAATTTGTATTCTGGCATAACTTGACACACACGCATGGGTCAATTCTTTTACAAGCACAGCTTTTCTTCACACCATTTAATAAAGCAAACAACTGTTAGGAGTAAACACAGATTTTATCTGGACATAAGGAAACTGAGTTGAACAGCCTGTAACCTTTCCTGCATGGAGGATGTTCAATTTTCCAACATTTTTATAGGGAACTCTTTTTGTTTGTTTACAGGAAATACTATGTAATCAGAAATCAAATCCTTCCAGGTGAGAAGGATACTCAGCATAATCCTGCTAAGAGATGCTTGGAGATATTTTTGTACACAGCTACATTTTAGTACAAATATTTCTCTCTGCATCAGAATGTGTAAGTAAATAAGTACAGACAGTGCAAAAGGCTACAAAACTATGGAAGCTTGCTGTGAATTCTGAATATTAGCTACATGCAACAGCAAGACAGTGCACCTGCTCTTAATGACACAGCTAAGCTTAACAGATGATTTTATAACATTATATTCATAATACATTTATAACATTATTTTCATAATAATGATTTATAACTGAATTTTGATTTAAGTGGCTTAATTCTGAAATAAGAAAAAGGTGTTTGGCTTTTGACATTCAGCTAAGATGAACAAAGTTTCTTCCTTATTTTAATTACAAGTTTCACCATTGCTGACAGTAGAGCTAGGTGCCACTTACCAGAACTGAACACTGAGTGGTGCTATTTGAACAAAAATGGATAGAATTTGGTCATTAAAAGTTTGGGATGTGCTAAATAACTTTTTGAGTGATAATTTTTTGGGTTAAAAAACAAACAAGAAAGAGCCAAGTTTGATGTGAATTATTGTCAAAACTGCCTGATGATAAGATGTAGCCCAGGTGCCCATGCAAAAAACAATTTTCTTTTAATCTTTTTAAGTTGTCCAAGCATTGAAACTTTATGATAGGAAGCTTGCAAGAAAACCGTGAAGTGGTAAAGGGATTAAATGTGTTGTGCAAGGATTAACACCTTCTCTGAAGATCATTGGCTTAGCCTATCTGGAAAATAAACACAGGGCATGGGCATAGTCACTTAGCTTAACTTGCCATGTAGATTTCAAACCAAGATAATAACAAAGCAAAACATTTACAATCAGAACATTCACCTAATACATTCACTCCCTCTAAACGCGGGGAAGTTTTTCACAATGAGGGTGGTAAAAACTTGCACAGGTTGCTCAGAGAGGTTGTCGCTGCTCGAGGTCACCTTGGATGGGGCTCGGAGCTCCGTGCTCTGGTGAAGGGCTCCCTGTCCACGGCAGGGGAGGGCTGAAACGAGGTGATTCTAAGGTGATTTCAACCCAAACTATTCTATGATTTACAGCATTCACACACACTGCAGTGATAATGAACTGATTTGTTGTGTTAGACTGGTGCACCTCTCTGTTTAATATGGAGTGTAAAAGCCCGAGGAGGCTCTGGCCTGAGCTGCTCTCACTGCTCTGGAGGACAGACCGACACGGTAAGGGTAGAACAGGAGCGAACAGCCTCAAGCTGCCCTGCTCGAGCTCACACTGGGAACCGCTGCACCGAAAGGACTGGCCAGCACTGGAACGAGCTGCCAGGGCAGTGCTGGAGCCACCAACCCCAGGGGTATTGAAAAGAGGCGTGCACATGGGGACATGGCTCTGGGAGGACCTGGCAGCGTTGGATTTAAAGTGGGACAGGACGAATTCAACTCTCTTGCGCCCTGTCAAATACTCTACGGCCCCGCTCCGCCCTCAGCGCTGTTTAGGCCCCGCCCCCAGCGCTGCTCAGGCCCCGCCCCTGGTCCCGCCCCTGGCCCCGCCCCGGCCACTCGCGGCTCCGCCCTCCCCGGGCTGGCCAATCGCGACCTCTTCTTTCCTAGGCTGGCCAATCGTCGCCCCGCCCTCACCGGGCTGGCCAATCGCGGCCCCTCCCTCCCGGGACTGGCCAATCGCAGCCCGGCTCGGTCGCTATGGCGACGGAGGACGCGGCCCGGCCCGGCCATGGCTTCCTACCGCCTCGGGGTCCGCATCGGGAACTGGCTGGAGGAAGAGATCGCGCAGCAGGTACCGCCACCCTCGGGCACCGCCGCCTCCCCCCCGGCTCGCTAAATCCACTTTAAACCCGAGATCGTGGGTGCTGGATAACATATGTGCTCCTCTGTCCTTTGCCAACAGGACCTGCTGAGGGATTTTATCCGTAAGAGAGAGAAAGGACAACTTTTTGTACAGAGATTAGCCAGACTTAAAGAGAATATTTTCAAGAAGGTAATTTTTTGAAGAGGGTTGTGTTCCTCCCCATGACCCCCACAGAATGGCATAACTCCTATTATTGTTCTGCATGCACTAAGAACGCTACGGAAATTATACACTAAAATACTTCTGATGTTAGGTTCAGATAATTCTGTAAAGTACCATGTAAATTCTAATTCAGGTAGAGCTGTCTGTATCCACTGATGGATTTGTTCACTTTGGAGACACCGTGTTGCTTGTGAACCCAGACTGCACATCCCCGGAGGAGAGGGACCCCGAGCTGCGTGGCGATGTCACTCTGGCTGTTGACATGGAAGAAGTGTCCCTGTACTCAGATGAGCCCCTGCAGATCTCACGTGGACTCAGTGCAGTCAAGAGGGTGGACCCCATAGGTCGAAATGCTTTCTGTATTGTAAGGTCTGCTACTTTATTCTGAGTTGTTTTCAATTATTAGTTTACCTTTAGGTATCTTGTTTTGAGAAATACACAGTGAAGTTTGCTTAATATACAAAGGAATAGGAGTAAATTTAATTTAGTTAAGAAAGAGTCTTCAATCATGCAGTAAGCTGGATTCTATACTGCATATTACACTGATTAATTCCAATGATCTCTAAATCAGCTTAGGTGTGAAGACAGAATCAAGTTCACTGTATCATTTGGTAAATTCTGCAGCTGTTTTTATTCCAGTTGCAGACAAAGCATGTCCAAATATCACTAGTATTAATATTCACTCTCCTGCAAGCAGAACTGTGTCATTGCTTTTGCTTTCCATGAAGTGGACATGGTTCTGTTCTAAAAAACCCAGCATATTCTCTCTCTCAAATACATAGAACAAAAGAACAGGGTCCTGCTCAATAGTCAAAGGCTCTGCCTTAGGTTAAGATATTTTACCTGCTTTAAAAGGTAAACAATACAAAATTTTGTCACAAAGCAACATCTAACTGTAGACCAACCCCTAAACAATAGTAAAACTGATATTTGAATGTACCTTTTTTCCTTTTTACAATTTTAACAGTGTTGATGGAAGTGCAGTGGGTGAACCACTTCGATACGGGCAGAACTTTCTTCTGGGGACAAAAGGAGGGGTTTCTGACAAACTGGTAAGGCACCAAAGTTACAAATGGCAGTGGTAACATAGGCTCATAATGTGCATTGAATCCCTCTCTAAGAATAGATATATAAAGCTGTACACTGGTGCAACATCTTCGTTTTACAGAACAGGCTCAGAATCATGAATAGGTCAAGATAAGAAAAGCAAGTTTATGCTACTTGCCTGAGGTCAGGTGTGCAGACCAAGGGGGCTGTTAGCCAGAATGACTGAATAAAGGAAATCTAAAAATGAAAGAAAAAGAAATCACAATTGGATTGTGAATCATGAAAGAATTCTTCAAGGAGATTTTAGGGTTTTTTTACTTTGAACAACTCACTTAGGTGTTGGACTTGATGATCCTCGTGGGTCTCTTCCAACTCAGAATATTCTGTGAAACTCCAAAATGAGAAGATTTCCTTTCTTATGAAGATAATCCATAGTAGGAATAGAAAGTCATGCACTATTCCATCATTCTGAGGAAGCAGACTTCTATTAAATGGTATCATTCTTTCTCTCTGCAAATTAAAAGTAAATAAGGCATTACACATATGTATGCACTCAAAATAAATCACCACAACTTTGAAAAAATTTTCCTTCTCAACAATCATTTTGGTGAAATAAAAATATTTGGAATGTAAATTCAATTTTAAATTAGTATGCACAAATCTGCATATAGAATAACTACTTAATGGATTTATCAACAGTATTGAATCTATCCTATGGGTTTTGCCTGCATAGTTTTAGCTGTGAAGACTGATCTATCAGGAGCCTAGAGAAAAGTTCTTTTGTTCAAAAATATGTTCAAAATTACATATCTTGTTTCTTTTACATTAATACTGTCCTTACTATACTTTTTTTTTACAGTTTTATCTGGCAAGTGACCACAAAACATTTAGGGATTTTGCTAAAAAATCTCGCCTTCAGAAAGTATTTCTGACAGGTGAGATTTCCTATTTGACTTTCTGGCAAGCAAAGTCCTTGGATCCACAACTGCGTCTTGAACATGAAGGATGTCCAGTTCCTGTAAGACATTAAAACTGTAGGAAATGTTATGAAAATTTAATTGAAACAGGTGGACTACTGAGAAAAAAATGTTATGTTGGTTTTATTCACATATTTATGTGAGTTATGCCAGTTCTAACCTCTACTTTTAGGAAGGGGAGAGGGAAGGAACCATCTCTTTAACTAGGGATCTGCTAATAAAAATATTTGTTTCTACTGTTCATTTTGAGGTTGACTTGTTCAGTTTTTCTCATCAGAAATTTTCAAAGCCTGACATTATAATGTTGTGGGGGTGCATTACTTAGCTGTTTTTCAGGCCTTTTGGGACAGTAAATTCCATTTCCAATATTTGGAGATGGGATTAACTAAGAGGTCCTATACATTAAATGCCTAATAAAATTCTCAAGGCATCTGAATAAGTGGATGATTTTCCAAATGTTTTCAACCTTTTGTAAATACATTATTTTCCTGTACCAGATAACTGCTAGGCTTCCTGAAGTGCTGGTGTACAAGACAGTATCACAAATACAATTGTTCCTTCACAGCCTTGAACTAAGATACATTTACATGAATAAGCTCACTAATAAACACAGTCAAAATTAACTAATTGTTAAAGACAGTCTTTATTCACAGTACTGGTTTAAATATGTTTGTCAAGTGTCTTCCCTTGCTCTTTTTTTTCCAGGCAGAAACTAAAATTATTATTACTCATTGCTACACCAATCGCAACTTAGCTGTTCCAAGGACCTTCTGTGTGTGGTAAGGGTAACTTACAACTGGCAGGGTGTGCACAGTGATGGGCCAACAGCAAGAATTGCTGTGAGGAACAAGAGAAGTGCTTTAAGAACACACTGAGGAAATGGAAAATAATAGAAAATGCCATTCTCCTTTCCCTTATTTTACTTCTTGGCTGTAACATGTGCTGCTGGGTTGCTGCAGACAGTTGGTTCAGTCTTTGTTGTTTGAATTTTTTTTCATTATCATATCATTCTTTTAGAGTTCTCTAGTTTATTAGTGGTTCTCCCTTTGAATATCTGGAGCAATGTCAGTTGTTTGGATTACTTTTGGAGGAAAAAAATTATATACTAAGAAGTGTAAAGAACAAGGGAACCAAATAAAATCACAGTGCATAAAATTCTAGATGCTTATGTCCATCTGAATCAATGTCTCAACAAATCAAAGTTAATCTCTCAATTCAGTTAATATACATGCATTAAATATTGATTAGGCACTGCTAAGGAGTACACCAATGTTTCCCATTAACTTCTTAGCAACATCTGACTGAGGATTTGTGTAAGGTTTTTGAGGATGAAAAAGGTCTGAAAGTTTGAGGCTGAAGAAGTTATTAATCCTTCTCAGTCAGAGAGAAGTGGGGATGAGGGCATAACCAGCTTTTACAAATGTAGTTGTTCTATCAGGGCCTTATTCTGCTGGGGCTAGAAAGATGGCATTTATTTTGGATTTCAGATTCCTAAATTATTCATAGGAAACAAAGTGGGTTATTTTGTTTCTTTTAAGTGTCTGGTATCTGAAAGTGCATGGTGATATTTCTGAGTATGCCAAGAGAAAAATGAGAAAATCTCAAACAATTCCCAAGTAATGAAGATTTGCTGAATTTGTATATATGTTAATTCTCCTTGCCCATTCTATCTCTTTTGATTTTGCAGGTCTTGTTTTGGAAGAGAATTTGAAGTAATTTGTCACAATTATCTTGATGCCCGCAGAGTTGAAGAAGATAAGAATTACTGGGAGATAATTACAGGAAATCCTGGTCCTGAAGATGGTACAAGGCCTGAAAGACCCAAAGCTCTCCCAGAAGGGTATGAGAATAAATTAGCTTCATGAAAAGACAGAGGATATAAAAGCCCAAGACCACAGCCAGGAGAGGTTGATGAGACTGATTATTGTTTCTTTCTGTTTATATTTTAGTTTTAGAGATGTTTATTTTAAAAATGGAAATTAAAGTCTGCCATTAGTAATATTGCATAATCTTGTTAACTCATCAAGCTTATAATGGGCAAAAACTCTTAAAATTTGATGAACATCATGAAAAAATTGTAAATCAGGAAAGGTTCCTTTTCCCATTTTCACATTCACTGATGGCAAAAGTTGTCAGAACCCTGGAAATCTGATTTCATTAAATTACTGCCTCTCAGAGTATACTTAACCAATTCTTCCAAAGCCAAAGCAGTGTCACAATTTTTAAAAGGGTGAGTGGACAGTTTCCAAAACACTGAAAACCAAACACACGCAAAGTTATCATGGGATGCTTTGACATTTAAAGTTCATCTGAAAGAAAGTTGGTTGTTGAGTTTGTTCCACCCTCCTTCCAGCACAACATTGCCAATTATTAAATTACAAGTGATCCTTTTTTACTTAGAGTTTATCTTCTAATTCATGGATATAAATTGAGTTTTTAATGTTTTCCCATGTATTTTAACACTTTAATATCTAAAGTAATCAAGAGCTTGAGCACAGTGATACAGACTAGAGACTTAGAACAGCCTTTTCCATGCATCACCATGTTCCATTTACCTCTCACCCACAGCATTTTTCAATCCATAGTAATTTCTAACAAGTTTGAGAGTAAGGTAAAATTGTCAAAGAAAATCAGGCTCCCACAAGTTTCATGATAGTAAATGCCAAAGCAGAAAACAAATATGATATGCTGTAAGTTTATCCAGTAAGAAAAAGACTGTAGTCTATGTTCCTACCTAATTAGACAATGGAATATCCACATAAAAAAAAATAAGGCCTTTGAGGGTAGAAATTTCAGCTGAAACTCACATTTCCTTGAAAACAAAATCAACCAAGTATAAAATGCAAATACCTGGAAAACAGAGGTCATTACTGCATAGATTTACCTGTCTTTCTATAGAAGCTGAAAAAGCATCACAGAGGATCTTCTACTGTATGGCATTCCATTATATCTATTTAGTTAAACATATATTTATTTCATCTCCTACTGTACCACAAGAGCAGGCTCTTTCTGCACAAATAAGTGACAACCCAATTAAAATGCTACACTGATATCCATTTATAAAAGATTCCAAAGATCTTCAGTGATCATAAAGGTCAATTAAAACTTTCTAAGTTTTCCAAAACAAACCCACTAAACTTTCACAAAAGAAGGGATTGGTCCAAACATATTTTTAAGCTCTTATTCCCAAATAATCTGTTTGAAGCCCACAAGTAAGGCCTACAAAGCTTTGCCTTTATTCAATGTAAATTAAGTCAGCAGGCTGCAGCATCTGGCATTTGGCATGCAGGATCTCAGAGCAGCAGGCAGATCATGCTGCTGTGGCATCCTGCTTTGCTTTGAGGGACTGTACTGCAGAGGACAGCTTTAGAATCACACTCCTTGTGTGCAAACCTTTACCTATTACAGATGGGCTGTTACAGAGGAAATTATCTTTAGGAACTTTCACTTTTTCCCTTCATTTTCTATGTAAGCATAATTACCGTGATTTGTGATGTTTTTCTAGAGGGTCTGTTCATAATCCAACATTCAGAGGTAAAAATATGCACATTTTCACAATGGATTGACCTAAGTCTGCTTATATTTTGTAGATATTAAAGTTTAGTAGATAAAGTTTTGTAGATATTTAATTTTAGTAAGACTTAAACTGCAGGAATGCACTGTAGTGTTTCTAATTTGGCCATTAGACTTTTACTGGTATTAGATGCAGCAATTTCAAATCTAAATCTCTTAACTCTGGGTCAAATGTAGGAAACAAGAAGAAGCCATTTCTGAAAGGAAGCTTCGTGTAAACTCATGCAGGAATGAGGACTGTGTGGGCAGGGTGCCTGGGCTGGCTGATGTTTTGGGTAGGAGTGTTTGTGTGTGTGAGTGGAAGAAAAGCAATGCACCCTGTACAAAAACAAGCTTTGCAAAGACTTAGAGGAAAAAAAAAAAGATAAACAGATGCAGAAATGAGTAAAAAAGCAGTTAATGTTGGAATTTGGTGCTGATTAAAAGTAGCTTGGAGACTTGTGTGTTTTGATCATTGTGCTCATTTGAAAGGATTTCTTGAGCTGAAAATAAACAGGATTGAATCAATACTCCTGATTCCATTAGCAGTGTTAAACCCACGGATTTTTACATAGCTCTTATATCATATAATACATATTTATAATTCATCTAATAATTCACGATAACAGACACTTACGGATTCCCAATTTTTTTTAAAGCTGGTTTTTGCACTTTTTAATATTGTCCACACGATGGCAGCACAATTTCTAAGCAGCACAATTTCTAAACAGCACAATTCCTGCCGTGTCTGTAAAACAGCCTGAGATGTTAAAATCCAAACGAGTCCCTGAAACAATGCCACAGAAGGAAACCGAGTTAAAACAGACTTGAATTCTAGGCTAGGGTATGTCATTAGTGTTATATAATCTTTCTGGAAAATAAAGTTAAGCACAAAGGTAGACACATTGCCCACAATCAACTTCTTTATATTAATTAGAACATTAAGTAATTTGTAACAAAAGTGTAATTAGAGGAACTTGGGAGCTTTTTCTTTCACTTTCTGTGTAAAGATATGAAACTTGGTGCGTGACAAGCAATGCATATTTTTATAAGGCTACTGTTATTGCTTTTGCAATATTTGCAATTAATTTACAGAAATTAAAATTATTCCCATTTTCACGACAGATTGACACAATTCTGCTTTGATTCTGTAGGTATTAAACTAGGAAAACAATCAAGCTGTGTAGAGTGCACGGTAGGGTTTTCTAATTTATCCATTTCGTGACAAACACAGGATTTATTATAAAGAATGATGGGATTGAATATTAGTGGAGAGTATGAACAATCCTGATATTTCCAGTTAAAATCACAATATTTCTGCTGGATAAGGCAATGGAGACCTGAACCACACCCCAGACCTGACCACTGTGTTGCTTTTTCTTGTCCAAATACTGTGTATGATGAAATAAGGGCAGTGATGTTTCTCTCCTTTAAAATGCACTTTGTTTTTTGTAGGTGTATGTATTTAAAAAGCTTTTAATACTTCTTCCAAATTCCACCCAATATGGATAGCTCCACAAAGTACATTGTGGGAAGATAAAACTCACTTTGCCTCCATCCCAGACAGCTCAAGAGCTGTTAGGATGAAGCTGATCCTGAGCTATTAGTCCTTGCTGAGGGCCAGGGTGCATTAGTCCAAGTTTAGTGCTGTGTTACAATAGCTTTTCACAGGCCTGAGGCACAGAGAGTGCTCATATCTGCACGTTCTGCTGTGCAGTTGGGTGTTAGCAGCACAATATTGAATTAAAGAAGAGAACTCAGAGTCAGCAAAGAAAAGCTGACTGGTTAACTCACACTTAACACTGGAAAATGAAAATCCAGTTAAAATATGCCTTTTCACTTCCCTCTCTTGCACATTCTTCCCCAGCTCATATTTCACATCACATCACTTCTCTGCCATGTTGTCTAGCCCAAATGTACTGATTTACTGTGGTTATAAAGTGCTCTTCAGCACTCAGCACAAGTTCTTGGCCTCACACCTAATCACATCAGTATCTCCAGAGCTGCTTTTCTGTTCAGTGATTGTCACAAAGTATTGTTTTAGCTCAGACAGCTGATAGAGGAGGAAGCCATATGCAGGTTTAGTAACTGACTAAAACATCTGAGGGGGAAAAAAGACACAGAGAGCATTACAGTAAAATTCTACACATCAGTGGAAGAAAATATCCAAGCACTGGAAAATTTGGTGGAGTTGGCAGGTAAGAGGGTGATTTTGATAACATCTGTGCCCACTCACCCTAAATTAATATTGCATGTCTGTTGTAATTTGAGTGGGGTGGGTGTGAAATGATCTTTTAAAACCATAGCTGCTGTTTTAGAAACACTTAAGACCTTAATGTATTAGAATTAAAGTAAGGAGGCCACAAAAGAAAAAAAATACAGATGTGATATGCAAAATACTTGTGTGAAAATTATGAAATCTCTGTGTCAGTTTGTCAGCTACACTTCTCTTCTAACTATATTCTATTTTAGGCTTTGTCCCAGATCTTGTATCCACTCTCTGCCTGACCTGCCTTGTTTCCTTGCCTGAACACAGCACAGAGGAGCAAACCTTGCTCTGTCAGCTCTCCCCTTCATGCTGGTTTGACTCTGCCCTGCAAGCTGTAAAAGGGAATCTAATCCTCAATGCTCCATTCTCCTGGCAAAGAGGAGGAGTGGGAAAATCTGTCACCTTGCTGTGACAGCAGGGATATGAGCAGCCATAAGGATATAAACTGCAGGATTTGCATGATAAATTAGCATTGCTGACAAGAAGAGGGATAACTTGGCATAAAGACACAGGGAGACCCTTCCACTTTGGGGTTTTGGGGGATTTTTTTGGTCAACACTGTGTGCACAGGGTATGGAATGAAACAATTGACACTTTTCTTCCCTTTTTTTTCCACTGCTGGGCTTGTAAAAGGCAACATTCACTCAACAGAAGAAAATTGTCAGTATGGTGCTACAAAGTATTGCTACAGCTGAGGCACCTTCTCTTGAGAAGTTTCTATATTTTCTGGCAAGGAGTACTCAAAGTACAGCAGAATAGGTCCAAACATTTAAAAATGCCTGATGACATTAATGCCCACGTTCAATGATGAAATTAATTCATACACATGAATCTCTGCTCTGAGTTTATACAAGAAACTCAGAGAGCTGATTTCCCAACATCTGTTAAATGCCGCTTCATACAATACGTCAAAACAAAACTAAACAGACCATCCAGTTAGAGGCCAGCTAGAATATATGTTTCTATAATGCTGGTCTTGTTTTAATTATAGCCTCCTTGGGGCAGGGACCATATCTTCATCTTCATCATTTTTTTCCAAATGCAAAGAACTACAGCAGAGAAGCTCAGTAAGTAATAGCATAAAGCTGTTATGAAAAGAGTTGTAAGATGACAAGAAACTGAAGTAAACCTGGTGCAAATAACCAGAGATATGGGCACATGAAATCTGCACATAAAGTAATGCCAAGT